TCTATCTATCTATCTATCTATCTATCTATCTATCTATCTATCTATCTCTACATCTACCTACCTATCTACCTTCAAGTACAAACGTCAATTTAATTTGTCTCAATTTAATTAATACTAATGAGATTCAGAGGGAGTTAGAGGTTCAGAGCCAAGAAGTTGATTAGGGAATTCTGGAATTCCCAGGAAAATATTTTTATTGAAATTGTACACAATGGAGAGTCTAAAACAATTTCACATCATGACAAGCGCACCTCACAAAACTGGCATGACCCTGAAAAGAAGTCAACTCGGAAGCCAGACACCTATAAATAAATAATCCATCTATCAAACATTTCTAAGCATAGGGCTTTGAATCCAGAAAGATAGAAAGTATTCAGATAACATTTGGGGCATTCTTATGTAAGTCTCAAATACCCTTTTCTTCCCAGATAGTTCTTACTGAGAATGCAAAACCCAGATTGGTGAGAATTTTATGTAGGTTGAAATACTTTCCCTTTTTCCTGTTTAATGCTTCAATATATACAGTAGTTTGTGAATCTCAGCATTGCCAGGGCTGAGAGAAAGACTTGCTTCATGCCTTAAGCTGGACTAGAATTCATGACCTCTGATTATTATCAATTGTTACAATCCCCAAGGAGTTCTAAGTAAAGCTTTTCTGCAAAAGTTTATCTGGTGCAAAATGTGCTATGAAGTTATTTTATACCAAGGGGTGATGACATTGCTTTGGCTACATGTTCCTGAGAATGTTTCCAAGATTTTTCTTTTTGTCTTCCCCTAAAGCAGCGGTTTCCAACTTTAAGATGGCCTTGCAGACTTCAACTCCCAGAATTCCGCAGCCAATATGGCTCACTGAGTAGTTCTGGAGTTGAAATACACAAGTCTTAAAGGTTGGAGACCCCTGTCCTAGAATAAGACTGCACTTTTTTTTTTCTGGACACCTTTCTGGATCAAGATCAGGTCATGATATCTCTAAATAGGCGAGAACTTTGAGAGGCCATCTGCACATGCTTTGTGTACCTTCATCTCTGCTCCCCTAGGTTCAAGTGCACTCTCCAACATTTGGGGGGAAATGCAGGACTCTGATAAGAGCTTTTTCTAATGAATGCATTTTATTAGCAAGTTTTTAATGACTTGGAGAAGTGACTCTTACCTTGTCCCGAATCCCTTGCCTCACAGCCTCCCGTTCAGCCTCCATCTTGGCATATTTCGCTTTCCTTTCTTCTTCCTGCTGTCGGAGCGCTTCTTGTCGTTCTTCTTCTTTCTTGGCAGCATCAGGATCCTTCTCCTCCTCTCCTCCCAACATCTTCCCCATGTCTTTGGTAGCCCCTAGTAAAAAAGCAGAAGGCCAAACTTGTTGGTTTGTTATATTGTTCTTGGATTTGACTCTTTCATGGAAAAAAGGTAAACTATTGGTTTGGAGTAGCATATAAGCTCCAAGAACCTACATAACAGGTTGTGCAACAATTTGTGCAGACCTTGGTGTGTACATGTATCAGTCTCCTGCGGGAGCTGCATTGGTTGCTGATTTGCTTCCAGGTGCAATTCAAGGTGCTAGTTGTCACCTTTAAAGCACTTCATGGCTTGGGACCAAGTTACCTGAGGGACCGTCTCTTGCTGGTCACATCTACCCAACTTACCAGAGTGGGGAGGCAAGGAATGTTGCAGGGCCCATTCCCTAGGGAGATACACCTGGTGGGACTCAAAAGAAGGGTCTTTTCTGTGATGGCTCCCTCTCTCTGGAACATTATTCCCCCAGAGATTAGATTGTCTCCCACTCTTCTGGAAGACTCTGAAGACCTGGTTCTGCCAGCAGGCCTGGGAAACCCAGAGTGAGATGGAGCCCATTAAATGGCTCACGTGATGTGTTGTTGCTGGGGTGGGGGATGCGGGTTATTTTAGTTTATTATTTTATTATATATGATTCTCTCTTTTATTAGTTTTGTTGTTTTTATGTGATTTTTTTTTATTCTTGTAAGCCGCCTTGAGTCGCCATATGCGAATAGGCGGCAATATAATTATCATAAAACAAACAAATAAATAAACAAACAGATAGATAGATAAATAAATAAATAAACAAACCTGCTTCCTATTGTCTGTACCAAAAAAAAAAAAACAACACCTTGGGAACTGAGCTGGGATGAGAGAGAGGAAATGGCCCAAAGTCACCCAGTTGGCTTCCATGCTAAAGGAAGTGCTAGAATTCAGTCTCTTGGTTTCTAGGCCAGCCACGGAACGACTACTTATTAACAAGGCTTTTTTTTTTTTTTTTTTTTTTGGCTTACTGAGAGATGCAGCATCACCGTAATCCAGAGAAATGTTCCCAAATAAAAATCACAACTACTGGAGACTGTGCATTGCATTTGTTGGTTTTGTTTTCACAATTTTGGCAACTACCCTAATCATTTGAGCCTGGTGGCGTACAAATATTACTAAACACAGGACACTATTCCAAAGGCCTGGGATGCTACCAAGAACAAGCACTTCTGAGGCCCTGTTAAATGACACCATAAAGGACTAAAGCATGCCCACCTTATCTGAACTAGTGTAACTCAGGTGAACGGTGAAGCATTCAGAACTGCTACTTTCTGGACCAGCTTCAGCTTCCAGGTAGTCTTTAAGGACCACCATATAGAGCACATTACAATGCAATTTACTGGTAGTATGGAAAGACATCTTAAATCAAACATTTTGATTTCCCCTGGATGTCTTTGTTAGATAAATGAAGCCACAGCAGCTTGAATTCTGGTTAGTTTATCCATAGTTAGAACTCCCCTGGTTGTAATAAGGAACTTGGGGGAACTGAATTCAGGCATACAGTATCAGAAGGAAATATACCATTCTTGCTTCTTAAAGCTGATTTATAGGCTATTATTAGGACCCAACATAAGCTTAGTTGGAATGCATATGAAGGTTTAGGCAAGGCTGAAATTTTGTTTCATTTTTAAAATTGAAGATGTCATCCAGTGCAATTAAAAGAAGTGGGATTGTTTGAGTCAGTTCAAGGATCCATGTAATCTAGCATCAGTTCCACTTGCCCTATGGAGCCACACAAACAGATATGATGGCAATTATCTTTCATTGTCTGTTTACAGCATCTAACATTTGTAATAAACTACAAACAAAGAGGCATGGTTATACATTGTTGACACACAATTCCTTTCCTTTCCTTTCCTTTCCTTTCCTTTCCTTTCCTTTCCTTTCCCTTCCCTTCCCTTGCCTTCCTCCTTCTGTGTCTGTTTTTCTGTCCTTTTCTGTCTTTCTTATCTCTCTGTTTCCCTCTCTCACTCCTTAAGCTAATGTGCACCACTGTATCTTTTTTATAGATATCTAGAAGTTAATTATTTCTCTAAAGCAGGCAGAATTATTTTTATTAAAGAAAATATCCTTGACATTTCAATAATCATTACATGACAGGTTTTGTTTTTTTTCTAAAAGGGAGATAATTATGGTTGAACAGCTTATTTTATCTGAACCTTAATTGAAGGTCAATAGGACTTATTAAAAGAGTGAGTCAATTCAGAATGGGATGGGGAAGTTTACGGCTGTGTTTTCAAGGATGAATAATTATTCCCTCCTTTAAAAATCAGATTTCTTCCCCACTCTCCTATTCAATTGTGTAGAAGGGTATCTGGACAGATAAGCATTAGAGAACGACTTGTTTATATTTATGACAAGACCAGTTCTTCCAAGGACCATGATAAATGGTGGAAGCATAGATGGAGAGAGGCAGTGAATCCTGTTTCCTGTTTCACTGCCTTTAGGGATGCCTTGCCCCCCCCCATCCACTACTGTCACACATTCAGTATTCAGTTTAGCAATATTTGTGTCTGCTACCCAGCTTGCTCTCTAACTGTGGAAAACTCTGGTGCTACTGAATGTTTTCTTCCAGCAGAAGTCCACTTCTCCCAAATGCAGTACTGAGGGAGAGACAGTGCTGGAAATGCTGGCAAACATGACCACTGAAAAGTTTATTTTGGAGTCCAGGGTGTATTGTGTTGAGTAAATGCTGACAAATGGAGAAGAAGATAAAGACTTGAAACATATGCTTTAATGAACTGTGCCACCATCCTTTCCTTTTTTTCTCCTCCAACGCAACAGTTCAGCCTTGTAGAACCCCAGGATAATGTTCAGATAACAAATTGCAAAAACCCAGAGTTATCTCTGTCCATTTGTGACCATATTTATTCCATTGGGGGTCAGGTGGTTTTGCCACCCAACTCAAGCAATATAAATTGAGCAGAATCTTTTAAGAAAGCATCCATAGTTAGATATACAGTTTGCTTAGAAGATCGGGAGGCCATTTTGCTTTATGAAATGGAAGAATATTCCCACAATCATTTAATTACTTGAGAGCTATGGTATTCTGTTTAAGACCTCTGACAGCCAAGTATTATCAAGATATATGGGGATTGCTTACAGAATACACAGCCATCTTTAGCTGTGACATCTGGACTTTACACATGTTAGTACATCAAAGATGCTAAATTGGAAAAACCTTCCAGGTACATACATATTTTTTTAAATATATGAGTAATTTTTATTGAGAATTTTTCCATGGGTAAAAGACAAATCTAAAGAAAAAGGGGAGGGAAGGAGAAGGGAGAGAATACAAAATGAAAGTACAAAAAGTGAAGGAAGCTAAGAAAACTAAAGAAACAAAAATCAGAAATTGTGTTCTGAATATCTGGCTTTGAGTCCATCTGTGAAACAAACATTTGTTCCTGACTCCCCATTCTTTCCCTTTATTCATGTTGGCATTATTTTTTTTACTTGTTTTACCATAAATAAACATAGATCAAAACATATCACAACAGGTGTGTGATTTAATTGATAGAAACAACTTTCATTGTAGAACATGCAATCTGTTTTTCAAATTGTTTTATTCTACTTTCAGAAATGCATTTTCTCTCTGATTTCAGATAATTCTTTTCCTCCATAATATGTTTCAGAGAGAGTTCTCACTTTCTTTAAAACATATTTTATTTTATTACAAATTTGAAAAAAATAAAATGCAAAAAATCCCCTAAAGACTATATCTATCTATCTATCTATCTATCTATCTATCTATCTATCTATCTAT